AATAGAGTGGCTCAGAAGCTCAAGGAAGCTGCGCTGTGGCCTTCACCGTGCCAGTGCAACGCCAAAGACGGCCACGACCGCGCCTGGAAGCAAACCGAAGATCGTCGGCCATGTAGCTCCGGCGGTGGACACTGTTCATCCAAATTACAGAATTGCCATTCGCCAAAATTCCCAAATTACTCCCAAATTTTCATAACAACTCAAAAATCTCCAAAAACAAAAGTTGTTCAAAATCAAAAGTTCTACAACTTTGCTTTTGAAACCATACCCAAATTCGACCTACATTTTGAAATGAACTTTTGAATTTAAAGCGGGGATATTTAAGGAATTTCGCCTTTTTAAATAACTTCAAATTTTACTAAACAACTTGAAAAACTCCAAAAACAAACTTTGTACAACTCGACAAGCTCTACAACTTTGCTTTAAGACTCAACCCCAAAATGTGCTTTGATTTTGAAATAGATTTTCAGGGTTGGATTTAAATATTGAAAATCAGGGTTTTCGGAATTTCAAATCAATACAAAGATTTCAAACTTGATTCAAACAATACCAAGCAATACTTATAACATAAATGTAAACTTGTTTTAGTGAATGCATATCAAAGTTTACAATATAACCAATGCCTTGCAATGCATATAATGATATGTCCGGTTTTTAATATTTAAACACCCGAGATGTTACACAGCTCCTCGACTTCGACTATGGAAGGTTGGGGCATGAACTCGGTGTCTTCTTGGGACCCTAACCGTCCTAGGAGGACCTGCGCCACCTCACCTTCTTGTTCGTCAACGTCATGGCGTAGCTTACTGGGGGATAGCCGTTTCCCCCGGAATACCTCATCCGGAATGCCCCGACAGTGCTCCCGTTCGGTCTCTGCAACGCCGCAAAGACCGTTGGCCACCTTGTGGTGCAGCGCATGATTCTATCCCCCGCAAATGATGAGTTTGTGGGGGTGATCGAACACATCGTGGAATCTTTCCACGACCTCCTCATAGATGAGCCGGAGTCACCCTCTGGCTCTGACTCCAGCAGGGGGAGCCATCGCCCCTCTCGTGAATGCTTCATGACAGGTACCCCCGAGGGACACATCAAAAGCATCCACGAGGAGGAGGCTACCCCGACGAACGACCTCGATGATGAGGCCGAGGGGGAGACAGCGGCCCCACCTCACATGCGGGTGGAGCAGCTGAAAGCCCGACACCAAGAGCTCAAGGAAGCGCGACTCCAGCTCGAGCAAGAAATGCGCCGAGCTCGATCGGGAGATCGAGCGCCACGGAGACGGTGGGCGTGCACGCACCATGGCCCGCGACGTGAACCGAAGGATCATCGCGGACGATGAAGCCCTCCCTCGCTTCGCCCGGGTGAGCCAGAACATCGCCGCTGCGACGGCCTTGCTCCGTGGTCTTCAGAGGCCGCTGCGGCTTTACTCGTTGGTGTTTACTCGAAACACCAACACAAACACTGAGTAAAACTGGTCGGACTACGAGAAACCTACGCCTCAGCGGCTACGACGCCTTTGCCCACCAGTGTGATCAGAGTTTTTTCCACACCCCGGGCTTTTTGGCCTTAGCCACGGAAAGAGTCGGTACGCGTTTAAGAGTCTATCTGCCTGGCGAACATTCTCCGTGCCCGACCCCCTCTCACGTTAAGACCTAGGAGCTAGGGTTGCTGGAACAAGTTCTGAGTATAACTGGTTGGACTACGAGAGACCTACGCCTCAACGGCTACGGCGCCTTTGCTCACCAGCGTAATCAGAATTTACTCACCCACACCCCAAGCTTTACGACCTTAACGACGGAAAGAGTTGGAACGCACTAACCTTTTTATATAAAAAGGGGAGAATGGCTAAAAAGTTGTTTGGCTATAACGAAATTTAAGAGCTTATCCATTTATTACAAGTTCGCCACCTGATACGTAACTAAATTCTTACGTAGGATGTTCTCATCCTCTATCTCCGTAGGTAAGTCCCATCCCAGCGGGGCAATACAAGTCAACCGGACATTACGAAATCTTTACAAGTACATGGAGAGTTTACCATGGGACAACCAACTTCCTGTTTTACCATCTCTACATTACGAAATCAGGGCCAAGCTCGGCCACCCAATTGGGCCACCTAGCCCGCTTTTCCTCAGCCATCGGATTACGATCGAACGTGCAGAAAACAGGCACAAAAGCTAGCGTCTCTAGAGCCTTCGTCTCGAGCTTGTGATTCGCTAGCAACTCCTCGATGCCGTCGCCGGGCCACGCCGCCTCCCTGGCTCCTTCTGACATATACTCGTCAACAGGAAATATACTGTACGGTTGAACTTACAGCAGATTACGGTTTATTAGATCTCCAAGGAAATTAACTAAGCTAATCCTGTAATCCCTTAGGATAGGAGGAAGAACTAGCTTTGTATCGAATATGCATTGGAGATTATATCCCTTAATGATCATTGCAAAATTTGAGGGATAACTTTTAGTTCAATGAATTACTAGCAGAAGGTCATGATCAACTAATTGTCTTATAAGCCGTACTTTTTCAGCCAACTAACAGTATTTTTCTCTCACAACAAATCAACCAACAGTACTTTCAGCCATGGCTTATTAGCCAAGCGAACAGCCAAACTGTAAATGATTATTCAGCGGTTTGAGGGATGACCTCTGATTCCAGAAATTATTACTAACAGATAGAAGAATATGGTCTAATTTGGTTGCCAACTTCACTGCCTTCACAATAATACAGCCTGACACAGTCTGCAGCCCTCAGGCTCAAGGTGCAGAACTGCAGACACAAATCAGATAGGCAGAAATGCAACTACCTGTGTTGAATACTGTTAGCCAACCAACGGTTGGTAGTTATATACATGCTGAAAATATGATAAATTTATGCTTGGTGAGTTATCCTTACAATGCAAAAACACAGTAAGTCTGGAACATCTAATCCCTCTGATTTAATTTAAAATATGTCGTTTTAGGATTCCTGCCGATCATATTTTTTTAACTTTAACTATCAATCAAGACATCAAAGACTAGATATTTTGACAAACTTTTAAGATAGATGTTACTAGATTCGTCATGAGAAGTACTTTAAAAATATTTAGTTACATTGATTTGAAATATCATATTTTTAAAGAAGTTGTTGGTCAATTCACCATGTCCATGTAGACAATGTTGATGTACTAAATGACATGTATTTTGAATCAGAGATGGAGTACTGCACAGATGACTAGAGTCCAGGAGAGTGAGGGGTAGGGCTGGTCCGTTAAAACAGCGAGCTAGACTTCCAGCTCAGCTCGTGAAAAAGTTAAAACAAACCGAGCCGAGCCGGACACGAGTCGAGCGAGTTGGCGAGCCGCGAATATTTTGTCCAGCCCTAGTGAGGGGCGTTCTGAGTAAATAGTCTTTAGAGTTCAGAATCAAATTCCCTCTCATTCTCCTTATTCAATCCCCTTGTGTAAGAAATAAGCACTACTTATACTAAACGGTGCAAAAAAAAAACTGAACAAATAAACACAAAACAGAAGCTAACCAAGAATAATAGTTACTATTTGTACCCTGTTCCATATAATTCTGTTTAATCACAGATACCAAGGTTTAAGTGTTTACCCAAAAGAACAGAATATGTTACATAAAAAATAATCAGATCTGAGAATTACTTTTCAGATACAGAAGTCCCTAGTTTTGAGATTAAAAAGATCACATGTGATGTCATGTGATTTCAACCGCTGCCTTCCACACTGTTTGATACTTGGACATTAATCGGCAAAGCAAATAACTAAAGTTAAACGGAAAAACATCTAAAGAAAAAGGTTTACCAAAATGTGAACTGACCAATTTGGTAACTAAACACTCCCGCTGGACAGACAGATGTCCTTCCAGAAATGAATGGATAAGAAAACATGTGAAAATTGATGAGAGCGAACTACAGCCATATGGTTACTGGCAGAGAAAAGTTGCTTATTTAATATACTAACATTAAAACTTTTTTCTCGAGAAAGCAGCAGCAATTCTAGTGAGTGTTCCACCCAACGCCCTTCTGGTTTGGGCACGTTTGAGTTATAAATCGTACTTTTTTAGTTAATGAACAGTATTTTTCTCTCCTACCAAATCAGTCAACAGTACTTTCAGCCACGGTTTATCAGCCAAACAAGCCCAACCGAATAGGGCGAAACCAAAATGTTGTACAGACATGCAGCACCTCTCGGAAAATGATTTTTTCTCATATAAGAGTGACTACCAAAAATATTCCAGGATTATGTTTCATGACAATGTTTGTGGTAGTAAAGCATACTTATTTACAGAGTGGACATGCAAAACAAATTCGATGAGAGGTTATTCTAAGATTTAGTCTCTTCTAGATGTTACAATGCACCACATTCAATTATTCAATTCACAAAACCTCACTGCATCAGAGAACAAATAGCATAATATCGAATCACAAAGGCTGCATCAGATAAGATATCGCTTTACACACTTAACTCTGTCCTTGGAGTTTCATTCGTAAGGAATGTGACAAATTCCAACCAACTCCCCTATGGATATATAGATTTGGCGCGTGTTTAGTTGATCGAAGTTTGATTTTTGGGTTACTGTAGCACTTTCGTTTTTATTTGGCAAATAGTGTTCAAATATAGACTAATTAGGCTCAAAACGTTCGTCTCGCAATTTTCCACTAAACTGTGCAATTAGTTTTTTTTTCATCTACATTTAATGCTCCATGCACAGGCCGTAAATATTCGATCTGATGAGTACTATAGCACTTTTTAGGATTTTTGGCTTCAAACTAAACACGCGCTTGTTCATTCATCACGCGCTTGTTCATTCATCAGTCACAATGTACCAGTATCCAAGCATGGCACACTTAGCTGACAAAATGATTGATCATAAACACTAGGCTTCTACAATACAGTTCATCGCAGACAAACCATAGCACACAACAAAGAAGAGAACGTCACTATTTGGTACATCACCATTACTAGCGATACAGAAGAAGAGTAATCGACCTTGGAAAAACACTCTCAAATGGTGTAGTCCGACCATTGGCGTATGAAGGACGTGTGATCCAATGACTCCCCCGGCATGTCCTCGTCATTCTCGCCCTCGGTCTTCTTCCCACCAATCAGCCTGGCAGGGTTCCCAACCGCCGTGCTCCTTGCCGGCACATCTATCAGCACCACGGATCCGGCCCCAATCTTAGCCCCGGCACCAATTTTCACGTTCCCAAGAATCGTGGCCCCAGCTCCAATCAGCACGCCATCCCCAATCTTGGGGTGCCTGTCGCCCACCGCCTTCCCAGTCCCACCCAAGGTGACGTGGTGGAGGATGGAGACGTTGTCGCCGACGACGGCCGTCTCACCGATGACGACGCCGGTGGCGTGGTCGAGGAGGATTCCCTTCCCGACGACGGCGGCGGGGTGGATGTCGACGGCGAAGACGTCGGCGACGCGGGACTGGAGCGCGAGCGCGAGGGGGCGGCGCTGCTGCGCCCAGAGCACGTGCGCGACGCGGTGGGCCTGGATGGCGAGGAAGCCCTTGTAGTTGAGGAGGCAGTGGGAGAAGCCGACGCAGGCGGGGTCGCGGGAGCGGGCGGCGAGGAGGTCGGCGACGACGGTAGCGCGGAGGGACGGGTCGCGCGGTGAGCGTGGCGAGGAAGAGGTCGTAGAGGAGCGTGGAGAGGAGTGTGGAGGAGCAGAGCTTGTTGGCGAGGTGGAAGGAGAGGGAGCGGGGCAGGGACGGGTGGGACAGCACGGTGGCGTAGAGGAAGGAGGCGAGCGCCGGCTCCGCGTCCGCGTCGCGGTGGGCCTCCGCCTTGATCTGGGTCCACACCCAGGTCTCGTCGTCCTCCGACTCCGGCGGCGGGTACGCCGGCACCACCTCCGCGGGGAGCGGCGGTGGCGAGTGGGCCGCCAGGTGGTGGTTGGAGTGGTTCGCGGCTCCGCCGCCTGCGGCCTCGTGCGCGTGCGGCTGGCCGGCCGGCATCGCGTGGCGCGCGGAGGGATTGGGTGGCGGGACCGTGACGGATGGGCGGAGCGAGGCGAGGAACGCGGACCACTTGCGAGCTGCGGCCGGTGGTCCGTTGTCGATTGGCGATTGCGGAGGCGGACCGGCGCAGGGGATATATGCCGAGCCCGAGCACGGGACAGGTCACAGGTGGGCGCGTTCGCTGCTAGTGGCCTCTAGTTCTAGGCTCTAGCCTACTACTGCTACCTCGTGGTAAGATCGATGGGCTTCGTTCGGATTGGGCCGTAGCCTCGCAAAGTCAGAAGACCCCTTTTTCCTTTCTTCAAAAGAAGGGAAGGCAAGACCCGTGTTGCATCAGCACGTAGCCATGAGTCCATGACTAACTACATTGTCAACCATGAGTACCACAGCACAGATATAATGAAATCTTCTACAGTACTTTATAAATTTTAGTGCCTATGAATCTGGACTAGATGAGGGGAACATACATTTGTTGGTAATAATATTGTTGTCCAGCCGGTAGTTTTTAAATGTAAGCCTCAGTTTTGTTTAGCTTCAATTGTGTTGCTCCTGTGTATGGTCATACATTTGTTACATAGCTGGATTTATTTTTTTGGAAAAGTAAAGTCAAAGTTGTTTTTCTTTTACATGCAAATCATAAGCTCATATAATCCCCCGATTTGATGAACGCGACAAAAGTTACTTTACGTGTAAAGATTTTTTTTTGAAAAAAAGCCAAGTGATGACACAGTAACACCCTCGGTGTTACCTTGTACAGTTTTTGCTAAAACACTGCATGAGCATCATACTTGTGTGTAAATGTGTGTAATATAGAGTATATATTAATGTACGGCACTTGAAACGTTCAGCTGAAACAAGAAACAAATGTTACATTTCATGTCGCGTTATATCGTTTAGTATTCTAAGTACATTTTTATCGAACAAAAATGCTATTGAACACTATGCGAAACTTTGATAAAGTTCGTAGTACGAACTTCGTAGGCGACGATAAAATACGTGCGGTCGAGGACGGTGTTCGCTAGCTAGTGTATCGAGTGGCTCGGGAATGGAATTCAACGCGAAACCGTTTGAAATGTAGTCATTTCGTGTAAGTCCGAAAATGGGTCGACGAAGCCATGTTCGACAATTTTCATAGTACGATCGGGTTAAGAAGTGGCAAGATGTTTTGGCTTAGTTCGATAGCTCTATGTATCCTCTTGAGGATAGAAGAGCTTGTTTAGCTATGGGATCATCGGGTAGGATTTTTCAACAGCTTTAAAATGCGTGCAAGTCACATATTTTGAACGGAGCCAGCGTTGGCCGCGGTCACCGCCTCTGCTCGGGCAGGCACCGCTGCTGGCCACCCAGCGCGCGCTGCCACGCCGGCCGCGTCCTCCCTGTCGTTCCTGTGCAAGCACGCCCGCACGCGTGGCCCTTGCACTACTGGCCACGACCGCCTGACACCACGCGCTGGCGCGCCGCACGTATGCTGCCGGGTCTGCCTCTGGCCACCGTCGCTGCACCACTATGGCTGACCATGCTGCTGTCCCCGCCCTACTAGCCACACCACGTTGCTGCCCTGGCACGCCGTGTACGCTCTCGCTCGCACAGCCGCACGGTCCCGCACCGCCGTGCCGTGCACGGACGCTCTATCGCCGTCGCGTCGCACTACACCCCGGTCGCGCTGCGCACCGTCCGTCGCCGCCTGCACGGCCACTGCCCTGCCTAACTTTGCTATCCCGTCCGCGCTACTTGCCATGCCATTCTGCAGTGTTCCTGAACATGCCAGCCTCTGTGACACAGTGTCGTGCCGCCCTCGCCTTGCGTGTCGCAGAGCTGCGGTCGTGTGTCGGAGTGCCGAACTTGTGCGCACGTCTGGAGGTCGCATTGATGTCTAGCGTCATGCCGCGCCCGCTGCTATTGCAACCATACGGTGCTGGGGTCTTAGTTGGAGTTTTCCCCACTGTCGAACCCATTTAGCCGAACACCGTCGCCCACCAAATTGGTCAGGTTCTGTCCATCCCTTTCCAATTCACCGTGCGCCCAAATAGCTAGAGTAGTTAGCTTCCAATTGGAGTCATCTCGATGGGCTTCTTTCCTACAGTGAGGTAATGGGGAGAATTTTCCCCTCGACAGTCCGCCATGGCCGGCGAGATGAGTTCTCGGCCCGAGGCACTGTTCCTTGCTCTTTTGTTTCAATCGAGCATGGTTGTTGCCTCTCCTTGACTCGTTTGCCTCGCCCATGCAGTGGCTCCGCCGACGGTGCAGCATGTCGTCGGGAACGTCTTCTCCGTGGCCGGCGTGAACCGGAACAACCTCACGTGCGTGGCCAGCCCGTTGCCGTTCCTTGCGATTTCTCCCAGCCCGTCTGTCACATCGCTGGTGAGGTCCTCTTGCTCCTAGGGTAGCTGGTTGACTCAATTAGGGCCGAGGTTCGCCGGAGCGCGTGGCTGTCCCCAGCGGACGTGGGTAGATGCCATTTCCGTGGCCGACGCGCTTGAATGTAGTAGCGGTTCAATTAGGACTTCTACAGTTTTTAACACAGTCCGTAGATGGTTAAGGAGTAGCGGTTGAGGTGTTAGGCAAGGTTTATTCACCGGCATCGGCGCCACCACGGCCAAACACCGCCGTGGTGCATGACCATGCCTCTGTGCGTCACCAACCGGGCTGCTTAGTACCTCTATCGAATGTGCTTGGGTAGAGGAGTGTCATGGTGGTAAGAATTAAGGCCATGGAGTGCACGCTCACCGACGTTAGGCCGGGAGGGTCGCGGTCTCTGTTAAGTCCGGCCAGGGATGTCGCAACGTAAATTCAAAGTAAACCAGGGGGTTAAGTGCTAGAGTCAGTGAGAGAAGGGAATAGTGGAATGGACTATGGTTCCATTTGATTGGAATCTGAGGGCTCTTTTGCTTAATGTGGCGCGCGTGGGTTTTTCCCTCCGTGGGCCGCTGGCGCGCGTAAATTGTAAATGCTTATTCAATTTAGTTTTCAAGCTGAACTTTGATAATTGTAGTAAATTATGTAGTTGTCCTAAAAATAGTGAAACCAATTTTGTTAGGTTCACAAAAATACCATCTACTTGTTAGTATAGTTAGATTACAGTTAGCTGTGACAATGGTAGGTTCATAAAATCAAACTAGAGGACTTAGTATTATGTAGATTAATAATTGTAGGGATTTTTGTGGTAGACTGGTGATAGATATGGCTATAAAAATTTTACATTAGGCTCACTAGATTATTATGTACTTGCTATAAATTTTGTAGCCCTAGAGTCGGATGGTAGATAGAGTAGCTATTATCCTTGCTTAATCATATATGGCGTAAATCAGCATTAGGAGTAAGAATACCGGTAGTTGCTATAATAATGTGTGCCATACTTCATACTTGTTATTGGTAACAATAGATAAATTAGTACCTTGGTCGGTAGCACTAGCTTAGTAGTTAAACAGATGTACTTTTATTTTAAGAGTTGCTATTGCTATATTACTAAGCATTGCATCATCATTTCATGCATGTAGATCATGAGCTGGTAGAATTCGTGTCCATCGACGAACAGGAGTACGATAGTTATTAAGGAGTACGAGGAGGAGATCCTCATGCAGGAGGGAGCCCCAGAGCCGTGTCCGTCGACAAACAGGAGTACGACAGTTATTAAGGAGTACGAGGAGGAGATCCTCATGCAGGAGGGAGCCCCAGAGCCTTTTGGTGCTGACCTTACTGATCCGTCGCCTACCCAAGACAAGCTCCAATGCATAACCCCTAATTTTGATGATCAAGGAATATATATATATGCTGTGCATTTACGTTACAGGTATTTTATGGAAACTACATGCATAAATATATCTACCTATGAGTCCTACTAGTACATGTCGAGTAGTCGCTATGCTTAGGATATCTGTAGCGTGAGTAACCTACCGTTGCTCACAAGTAGATGTTAAATATGATCACTCATGATAAAATGTTGTAAAGGTAAATGGTGATCGGGTAGGGATATGATTTGGGTATTGGTGGGTGTAAGGGGTTGTATCCTGCGGCCAATAGGGCATAGTTCGGTTACACTTTTTCCTATCTGAGTCGATTAAGGACCGATCATTGTATATGGCTCTAGGCAAGTCATAGATCTATTGTCCCGAGCATATACTTGAGTATGGGCGTAGGGAAGACTTGTTGCTCTCTTGTCATGGATCCGGCTCTTTTCGGACCTACTGATTAGAGGCAGAGATGGTGGAGAGTCCGGGATTCAGGAGTGGGGGCTTGGAGTCCAAGTTTGGACGGGGACCTAGACACCCAGGACAAGAGAGTGATGGTTAGTCCTGCTTGTGCCTAGGGTACAAGCGAGGCATGTGTCTTCGGGGCACCCAGCTGGGGGCATTGATTCGCGGATCGCCGGCGTTCCGTAGGGCTTGTCTACGGTTTAGCACCGTAGTAAGAACTGAAATATGGAAGATGAGGAAATGGAACTGATTGATCAACTCTTGTTTGAAAGTAGAAAATGTGCTTATATAGATTGGATAGATAATAACTTAATACAGCTGATAATAATAACATAAATAAGGACTCACTATTAGTATTGCTTTCTGCCAAAAGAAAACCGGCAATCCATAAAGCTTATCATAATCCTTGGAGTCAGGAAATTATTCCCACTAGTCGGATAAGTCTTATGAGTACATTGTCTACTCAGGGTTTATTTACCCATGTTGTAGGTAATGCATGAGAAGTACCCTTGTGTGGAGGATTCTTCTGGTGGGCTCAGACGGATCCTCGTTTCCTATTGCTAGATGTTTATTTCTAAATTCCACTGTTTATTATTTCGCACTCTGACATTTGGTAATGTAATAATGTAATTTTTAAGGACTTTTGATGTATGAAATGGACAAGTATTATAACTCGTTCTCATTATTGGATCCTTGGGAAAAATGTGGATCTTTCTGGTTCTCCCTTGTGGTGTGCCCGATGGATACCGCCGCTGTAGCTTGCTTTCGGGGTGCTTAGTGTCTGGTGGAAAACGAGCGCCTCCA